TGATCTATGGGGTGGGTTTGAGACAGCCCTCTTGTGTTTAAACTACATCTCTTGTGAACGGGGTATGGTAATGATTTGCACTTATAATTTAATAAATCATTTTCATTGATACAGATACAATTTCACCATTTATTTGAGCAAACATGCATTTATTTAGTGATATTGTTAATTGTCAAACTGTCTGTTTTGTTGTCTTAAGTTGCTGGGACAACTGGGGAAAGCACTTTATTGACAGTGGAAGAGAGGAAGAGACTTGCTGAGAAGTGGATTGAAGTAGGAAAAGACAGGTGAATCAGTGATGTTTTAATAGAGAATTAAATACATTTCAATGCTGCTTAGAATTAAAAAAAACATCAATGCACACTCTGTGTAGTATAGTCACTTGCTGTTTCCTTCACCCACCTTTTTTATAACTAATCAAAAAATATCAACAATTATAACAGCTTGGCATATGAGCTCCACTCTTATAGATATGCTGAACAGTCTAAAAGGTTCCATATGATTACATACCATTCTATCTATAAATCAGTATAAGCATGACAAGGGACATTTTAGCATTGTTTTCCAGGCTGTCAGTGGTTCGTGGGCACTTCAAAACATTTCTCTTCCCTTGCAAACCTCCCTCTTGCCAACCCTGACTGAGGAGATCATCTAAAATTTGATCTGTAGCATATGCTGCATCTCTGCATAAATAATATAACTGAGTTTCAATTTGTCAATGAACAGAGGCAATTCCTTCTTTCCAGATTTGAACACATAATAATACATGTTGGAACCTCAAACTTAAAAGACTCACAAGAACTGGTAGGCGGCATTTGTTGCTTGGGACATGTTAGGTCTACTCATAAAGACTTAGAATTGATTTTTGTATATCTCTTTATAGGCGAGACATTCTGAAAACAACAGAGCGACAGCAATCGCTCTGATGGCCACGAGTTTCTTCACTCCCAAGTCTGTAGGTGCGTGTCTTAATTTTACCGGAAATATTTCGCGTCGCTATCAATATTTTCCAAATCTATAGCTTCCATAATTTATTTAAAGAATTGTGGTGTTCCTTGTCACAATTTTTCTGCAAGCCAAGTTTAAACCAGTTTATCTAGATCTCTTCAACGCAAGGCGCAAAAATGGAGAAAAAACTCAGCACGGGAAAAATTTTTTCAGGCATTAATACATTTTGGATTGAACTCTTGATCGGCTTAAAATTGGTACTTACCTCATTTCTGTCTTTGTTCTTTGAATTATGCATGAGAATTTGCAGGGAGCTTAAAATGAACTAAATGCCTGCTCACCAGCCTAAAAAAGTCACAAGATTTTTTTAAGGAACAAACAAAGAGGGGAGAATAAATCCTTATGTTTTAATTATTGTTCAACATGAACATGTTATTTCATGTACGAAGGTTCATTGTGTTAGCTTGTGCTGCCTGTAGTTATGTGAACGCAAGTGGTGGGTGACGTGAGTGCCCCTGGAGTGTACCAACAATAAGTGAAGCGAGCAAGGGCCACGCCCTTGGCACGTGAACTACAATACTTTTGGTTTTTTGCGTCTTTTGAACGGTGATTTAGGAACAGAACGGTTGCTCTGAATTTTAAAGCCAGTGATGACAAATACAGCAGAGTAAATTAATATAATTCTGCAATATTCTGTTCTTTTTTCAGATGATCTAGTAGAGTATGTTCGTCTTGTAGCAGATTGTGCACCAAATACACCACTATTTTATTATCATATACCAGCTTGGACTCATATTCCATGTATGTATTAGAGATAACATGAAAGCGAACGACGAAACGAACGAACGGCGAGACGAACGAACGACGAAACGAACGAACGAAACGACGAGACGAACGAACGACGAAACGAACGAACGAACGAACGAACGAACGAACGAACGAACGTCACCCACCAGTAATCAAACGTCTAAACTGAATTAATTTTGTTGTCATAGTTCTGATGGAAGATTTTCTAAAAGCTGCCATTCCCAAGATTCCGACCTTAGCGGGTGTGAAGTTCACAAGTGGTGATATGTTTGACCTGGGCCGCTGTCTCATCCTCGAAGATCAAAGATTTTCGATTATGTTTGGCGGTGATGAGGTGATTTAACTGTTCACCTGTTCAAAGAGAAAGTGTCTTTTAACCCTTTACTCCCTAAAATCAATATACAGATCCTGTTTACATTTCCTTTGTTACTGAGAAGGAGAATCTGGAGCGTCTAAAATTCACGATCATTTCCTTTACATTCGACTAACCCTTTAATTCCCATGAGTGACCAAGACAGAATTTCTCCTGACAATATAAATACAATGTCAAGCAGACAAGTAATGAGAATAAAGAAAAATATCAATTATAGGATCATAAGTTTGATCCAATACCAAATTCTCCAAACTAACATCACAAGAACTGTATGGCAGACAGTATGGAGAATTACTAGTGAGATCTTGGGAGTTAAAGGGTTAAAGGCAGATTTAGAAGCCAGTCACAGTTAGGAGTTGAAGGGTAAAGCTCCTGGACTAAGTTATGGTCATATTTGATTTTTTATTTCTAGATTCTTATAAGTGCCTTAGCCATGGGAGCTTGTGCTTCCGTTGGAGGGTAAGGAAACGTTTATAAAATCTCTTTCCTTCGTTAATCTTTCGTGTAATAGGTATTTGGTTGAAAATGAAGGACAATTTTTTTCTCTCAGACATGGTTTGATGCTACTCTAGTTTAAAGATTTAATGAATGCAACCGAGCAGTTACAATTCATTGGGTCTATGAATTGTAACTTCTCGGTTACATTCATTAAATCTTTAAACCAGAGTAACATCAAGCCATGTCTGATTGTCCACCTGGTTGCCATGTGAACTTAACTATAAATTATTTGTCTTTCAAGAAAGTGGTCTGCAGGTTAATTGCGAGCAATCCAGAGTAAACCTAACTGCAAGGAAATCAGAAACTAGGGTATAACTAACAGCAAACTAACAAGGCACTACCGAAGGCAAAATGGAGTGCAACGGAAATTACTCTTGGAGGAGACATTTTTCTGGTCTACGACCAAAAAAATACAATTCTGGGAGACTCATGAAAATCTTGAGGAATTTGGTGTACAAATTTGTTCACAAACGTCGTGTAATTTCTTATTTTGCATTAGAACGTATAACTTTGCCGGCAAGCTCCACTTTCGGATCATGGATGCTTTTGACAAAGGCGATATGGAAACAGCGAGATCGGAGCAGGTCGGTTCTCTTCATATCGTTCCCGTATTTCCATGTAGATTTCGAGACTCGACAACAACTTTCCGACCTTGTTGAGCCAGCGTTTAATCCAAAACCCCTTAAATCTGATAAGTAATTCCCTCAGCTGCTTGCTCGACAAAGAGGGTAAGTTTCTAAAGAAACTGTGGGGCTGCGTCGGCGGGATAGTATAACGGGGTAATTTGGTATTATCAATTGAGTTTATAACGTAAATTGGCCACCGTTAAAAGTTTTAAAGCTAACGTTTAGAGCGTCAGCCCTTTGTCAGAGCGAATTCGTTACTTGCTTGCCTGATAGATGGCTTGTTGATAAGTTGTCGTAAGAGTAAGCTATCTCAACAGCCAATCACAGCAAAGAATAATATTTCAAGGAGCCAATGAGAACTCGAACTTAAATCAAGCGCGTTTTCGCTCGCGTTTTCCCGCGCTTTTTGCAGTTTACCAAGTCGCAGTTGATTTCAGTCTAACACTGATCTGATTAGTTGGGAGAGCAGTGGGAGCTCAGTGCGAAGTAAAGGAAAACTAATACAATCCCGGCAACGTTCGAATCGCAATTGAAAATTACTCCACTGTATGTAGAAGTTACTTACTAATCACCATTAGAATGACTTTAAAGTATAAAAAAACAAGGTCATCCTTGAATTGGCTGGAAACGTGGAATGAAAAATAGCGATTGTACATCGGTGTGGATATTGAGGACGTCCCAGTATCCAGAATTCTTGCCACGACAGGATTGCATGTTGCATGTTGAAATATTTCTTAGTTTAGTTGGGTTTTAGGTCTAAAAATATGTATGTCAACGGATCTACCCCCTCCAACAATAATACCTGGAGACTGATCTTTTTTACCTTTTTACGTCTAGTATCGGTCTCAAGCAATGGTGAAGTTATACTGTAAGTACGGTAAGTGTTTCCTCTCAACCATTTACACTCTATTTTCAGTATGTATATTCTCATTACTGTTCTCTAAACATTTCCAAAGCTGCTGATAAGGAAAATTTGATGAACAATCGAGAGCTTCTTTTGTTGGTGATCATTTCCTTTATTCTCCTGACCTCAATATGTGATTTAGGGGTGATATTGTGAGGAGAAATTAGATACCAGGGACTCGTAGGGGGTGAAAGGGTTAAGTAGCCAAGAGAAATACTTTCTCCACGTAATGTGGTTGTAAGTAGAAGGTAAATGTTAATCGTGGTCTGTTTACGTTCCCAGGAGGCCATGCTGGCGTCGGCAAAGCCATAATGAGATTCCTTGGCTTAGACCTAGGGCCCGCTCGTTCACCCCTCTCTCTGAGTGAGAGCCAAGAAGCACAATTAAGGGACGAACTGGGAAATATTGGATTCTTTACTTGGCGTTAGAAGAAAGAATAGCCCTCCAGTTAACCATCTCTATTACTATTTTAATTACCATCTTTATCAATATCAGTTTTACTAACCGAGTTCGAGGTCCGTTTTCACGATTATAATTAACTTACGGAATGAATTTTTTCTGCTGGAAAAAAAAAAAAGGTTCCGTAACTTAAATTACGAATCGAGAAAACGAGGGAAGACATATATTTTTTTATATCTCTGGGTTCAAATAGAGGGGGAAGAGTTAATTCAAAAAATTATTTTATATTTAATGGACTGCACAGTGAAATAAAGCCCGCAAAATTGACCAGTCACTGAGAGATATTCTAATTTAAGATACTTCAATTCACATTATTTTCCTATGATCTTGCATAAATTATATATATAACAAACGAAGTTAGAACACAAGACAACAACTGTAATATTTCTATAACTTTTATTTCAAAATATGTGACTTTCTTCGAAACCTGTGTGTCTGATTATATCTCAGTTTTTAAATAGGACCTATTCCTGCATGCAACTATTCAAAGGAGGCTTATTCATGTTTCACTGCTCCAACAGATTTTGTTCATACTAATTTACGAACAGCTTGTAACCTTCAGGAGTTGAAGTTCTTGTAACAAGTACACTATTTTACTTTTTGCTTTATAAAATACTTTCGTGTAATCTTTCCTACAATGGAAAGCAAAACGCACATTAAGAGGAATCAATAATAAAACTAATTTTTGTAAACGAGGCAATATTTCATAATTATTTCTTTACTGCCACGAAACCTCTACCAAAGCTATTGAAAATATGCTCTACTTCAGGAATCTTAACCCTTTCACTCTCAATACTTCATTAATAATTCTCCTTACTGTCTGCCATACAGTTCTTATGGTGTTAGTTTGGAGAATTTGGTATGAAATCAACTAATGATCCCCTGATTGATATTTTTCTTCAGTGTCATCTAAGGAGTAATTTTGTCTTGGTTACTCACAGGAGTTCAACCCTTTACACCCTAACATCAGTATTTATATTCTCCCAACTCTTCTCTGTGCATTTCGTTTGGTACTGACAAGGAGAATTTGTTTAACAATCAAAACTTCTTTAGTTGGTGATCATTTCCTTTTTTTCTCATGATCTTAATGAATGATTCAGCAGTGTTATTGTTAGGAGAAAATAGATGCTGATCTCTCTTAGGGTTTAAAGGGTTAAAGGGTTCAATTCAGTTGATTTGGTTCAAGATCACATGGTGAAGTGTCTCGTATAGTCGTACTCTATTGTGGGTATCACAGCCTGGACAAATTTGAGAAAGATGAGTAGATACCTGAGGAAAAAAGTCAAGGAAAACGGAAAATCTAAATAGGGCTTCTTCTCGTGTCTTCAACTCATTCCAAAGACAAGGCTGACTGAGTTCGCAGGACGAATTTTGTTTCTTTGAACAGATCACGGATGTTATCAATTTGAAAAACATGTCTCTGTGACTCAGTGACTCAGTGGTAGAGCATCGGAGCGCGGAATGCGAAGGTCTGAGGTTCGATTCCTCATTAGGATTAAGAATTTTTCTTTGTCCCACGCTCGTGACAAGACGAAAAATCATCTTTCCCTGTGTTTTGATCTGTCTCACATCTCTATCACCTGTTCACTTGAGAAAATTTCAGCTCAGTTACAAATATGATTGTTCTAATCTCGGATTGGTCTAAGAAAGTCACGTTACATGAATAATGCTAGATGATTGGTCATAAACTTATGTCTCTCTCACCACTACAAAAGTAACAGCCACAAATAAAAAAGTGGCATAGAAAAAGTCCATCTCTTTGCTTCTGTGTGCTCATTTTGCCTAGTTTAGAACATGTATGAGCTTGGTTTGGATCATACCATCTTGTGTGATCACGTACTAAGAAACGCGTGATAACGCTTTTAATTCCACGGAATCACGCGCATTACCATGACATTCAAAGGATACATATGAACTCCAAGCTCTCCTCCGCCATCAGCGACTGTCTGTATGATCTTCTTCATTACGTCAGCATGTCTAATGAGTTGGAAAAAAAAAACCCGTGACTACGGATTTGCACCAACCATAGTGTCCTTTCTTTTGGCTCAGTGAACTAAAATAACGCGGCGATGTATTTTTAATACAGCAATTTCAAATTGGACTCTAGGTTAGGTGGTTTACATATGATCTACTAAAAGATCGTTATGCTTTGTTCTTTGAAGTATTAACAAACTTAAAGTGGGTCTCTCAAGGCAGAAATTTCTGATTGTAAGAGACCTTTCTCCAAAATTCAGCACTTGCACTTAGGTATTAGTGTCCATTTTGGATAGGTGTCTGCCTGCCGTTTTTAGGAGTGACCATTAACTATCTTCACCTCATTATATACATTCTATAACTTAATAAATTTCAGGAAGAACGTTATGTAAGTGAACGAAAGTGAAAATGCAAAGGAGACTGAAGTTGACAGCAGTTGATACCAAGTATCCATTTTCAGGGTATCCCATCCTTAAAATTCAGATTTTTATCAGATTGTGTGTACAGCAGAAAGAGATGAGCAACAAATTGATATAGAGAAAGTGCAAAGTATTTGGGAGAATCAAGGTAAGGATTAGGTGTAAGAAGACAGTTGTAGCAACTCACCTACAAGGATGAACAGATGCCATGGTCATTGGCAAATGAGGATGAGCCTCCAATGTCACTGTTTTTTTTGCATGGTCCTACAATTCAGAGCACACATTATGTTCATGATGCAAAAATCAACCAACAAAACTCTACTCTGAAAACTGCTAAAACTTTACCTGACTCATATCCTCATACATCTCTTCTACTGCAAGGGGTTCTCGGTTCTGTAAAATAAAACATCCAAAAAGCTACATGATTGTCTCAATAGTGCTCATTCCAAAAATTATGGACTGGCTGGTCGCATTATACTCCCAATACCTGTACCAGACCTTTAAAAAACTGGAAAAATTGATATGCAGTGACCCTTTTTGTTAACAATTTGAGCTAATCCCTACAAAGAATAAAGTATTCTGTTTTTTTCCAGGTCAGTTGAAAGGCAAAACCTTTATACATGTAGCATTAAAATTCATATGGTTAGTTCTAAATGAATATGTACATCAGAAATCTTGGCACCCTGTGGCATGAAGTTTTACACTGACCCATGTCATAATGGAGAGGCACAGTAGATACAGATACCAAAGTCTTGGCTCTCATGACAAAAGAGTACAGAAGAATGTTTTATTTCTTTTCAGATCTGCCTGCAATTCTGGGATTTCAGTCACTCTCAAGGTAATGAGATTCAACAGACTCTTACCTCATTGTAACCAAACAGCCACAGTCGTGGCGTCTGATAATATTTGTCATATGTAATGTACATGTCGTAAGTTCTTGTTTGTAGAATTCCACCAGAGGCATTTGCATCTGTGGCTCCCTCCGCCCCTGACTCAGCCTTAGAAGTTGGTTTAATTGACAAGGTAGCCTGCAAAAAGACAAGGTAAAGTTTTTGGAAAAAGCAACAGGCCTGGTGACTTGCTTTATTACTGGATCATGTCCTTGTTTCTGAAGCATGGGGTGATTAACTACAACTGACATATATTGCTACTCATCGTGAATGTTCATCGTTTGCACTTTTTTTGCCATGGAATATACTGTACCTCATCACTTTCAAGCATTCCACTTTCTTCAAAAGCTAAAAATTTGAAACAGAAACATTTTTCAGTGATGAAATGTACAGTAACAGCAATGAAGTGACAGGTATTTAACATTTGCAAAATTGAGGTCTGCATGAAAAAAGGAAATGGGGAATAAAGCATTTGTAGCATTGCTGGTGAAGCAGTATTACAAGTAGTACTGCATAGTAGTTGTAATGAAACTGACTAGTAGTGTATCATTTTCAAAGTATAAATTGAAAAGGTGATGTAACTATGAACTGGACAGAATTAAATTATTTTCAGTTCTGTCAATGCACTTAATATCTTTTTAATAACCCTTTAACTCCCAAAATCTGATTGCTAATTCTCCCCTGTGGCTGCTACACATTTCCTTGTCAATTAGTTATAAGAACTTGGTGCTAGATCAAGATAGCAGCTTCTACCTGATAAGTTCGAATATTTTCATTACCTGTTTGCTGAATAATGTATGGATATTATGGGGAGAAGTTTCATGTTCATCATTTCTAGGATTTAAAGGGTTAACTGGTACCATCTGTAGTTTCGTAATGTTGCAAGTCTGAACAAAATGATCAGTACAATTACACTTACCTTCCATATCCACTGCCTCCTCATCATCATCTTCTTCATCATCATCATTATCTACTGGTGTTACATCTTTTGTGCCCTAAAAGACAATTTGCTGTTGTTACTGCTTTTAATGGGTCATGGTTTCTCATCACTCCTGTGAGTGCACCCTTAGCATGCCATCAGCACAAACTGATTAGCATATAATTTCATTGGTTTTATCAACTGAGTTGATAATGAACATTGGCCACATAGAGTTGCTAGAGCTGATGCTTCAAGAGGCAGCCCTTTGTCAGAGCAAACACTAAGCCCTTCATTAACTTGTTGCAAACCGTTTGCCCTTTTCTCCAACAAAGGGCTAATGCTTGAAAAGGCAGCTTTAGAAAACCTACAGTGACCAATTTATTGCTTATTTTATTCAACATCAACCCAACTGAGAAAACCAAGTTATCATGTTATACCTCCCAACAATGTAGTAGCACCAAAGTTTCTTTAGAAAGTAACTTCCTTCATAAATTAACACTTGCCTTGTCAGATTCAAGTGTCATCTCTGCAAACGACTCCTGAGTACCAGTGACAGCTTGCTCCCCACTTGGATCGAGGTGATGGTGGGTGTCTACCCAGCCTCCGTCTTCGTCTGGTTCAACAATTGCTTCATTTTCCTCTTGGTGTTCCATTTCCTTGCATCGCTTGTAGCAAGGAACTAAAGGCAAATCATTTCAGAAATAAAGAATGACTCATGGAATGTAAGCAAGGTGTACTGATTTTACAAATATTGGAAAACATGCTTACCATTCTTTGTATACAAAAACTGCTTGTCTTTTGGAAGATAGTTCTTTATTTTAGTATCATCAGGTCCTGAATCCCTAGGAAAGAAAAGACAGAATCAATTTGGAATATAAATCATAATTTTGCCAGAGAAATTTACTTAATAACAATAGGAGATTGAACAGGTTGCTGATTCTGCATCAGCCTTTCAAACAGTTGCTACAGTCCAGTCAACTGGGTGTTGATCTCAACAGTATCTCCTATCAATTGATATTTGTCTATATTTTCATCAACTGTTTGCCAGATATTACATTGATATTGTTGAGAGAAGTAACTTCTGTATCACTCCTTGGAGTGAAAGTGAAAAACCTCTGTAGATCATATAATCTCAACGAAACAAGACAGACACAAACCATTTCCATGTTGGACAGTGATGTACTAAGTGGTCTCCTGCTGCCACAAACTGTAAATCACACATAAAAAAAAATAAGTAGATATGCAACAAATTGAATTACTTGTATCACTAATAATGATACAGTAAATGGTTTGAACCAAGGGTTTTATTAAAAGCTAGTTATTGGCAGTCTACTGCTGCTTAGAAGACCTCCTATTGCAGTCTGTAGCTTGTGGACAAGCTTGGATTTCACATTGCGGCCCCTTTAATCTTTCTAACTGCCAAGATCTGGTTATTAATTCTCCCCTTAAACTACTTCACATTTCCTTGTGAATAAGTGATGAGAATTTGGTGTTAGATCAAGACAACAACTTCTACCTGATAAGTTTGATTATCCTCATGGACTTTTTGCTAGATAATATATGGATATTTTAGGGAGAAGTTACATGTGCATATCTTTACATGGCGATAACTTTGAAAAGAAGATATCCACATCATCCCACACTGTCCTAAAACAAAGCGTTCCTCTCAAAGGTAAACTATCTTTTTTTGTAATTGTTTTCTTCATTAATGATTGATTGAGATCTACAGTAGACAATTAATTGTTGTTTTGGTTTCCTTCGTATAAGCATCGCTCTAAGCACTCAAAAGTGAAAGACATTGTTCGGTCATGTAATAAAAATTGGTTAGTCTATTTTACTAACGGAGAAGCCTTGACTGTGCTCTGTTCTGTTGTAAAGCACGCAGGAAGCGGCTAGAGCATGAAAGAAGTGTAGGTAGAAACACGAGATGTAGTCGAGTGTTCCTCCACACTTGTTGAGTTTCACAATATCTTTCAACTTTAGTGTGGTTTGCCGGCTCGTTTGTTCCGAAATTTCACTTTCAATGAGTGAAAAAAAGCTAGAGAGAAGTCCGGGAAATGGTCGGACATATATAGTACAATTTGGCAGTTGGCATGACAGCTTTAGCACTCTTGCTCTATGTTCTTTACTCTCATATAGCGCGCTGTTTCAACCAATGACAGCGCGCGCTATATCCGAACTTTACTATAACATTTGGAAGCTCAAATCTAAGCGCAAATGGATTAAACGATCGCTTGTGGTGTACAAATTCCACTATATTTACATGGATTACGCAGCTAAAAAACCTACATACGTACTTCTTCTGGAGTAATAACGCCCGTTTCTTGAAACTTTGACTCCTATATTGACAGAAAAGATGGTTAATTCTCTAAATTGATTGAAAATAAGCGAAAAAAAAACAAAATTGCACAGCTGGATTTTCGATTAAGTAGAAAATTTTGTAACGCACCTTCAAAACAGGCGTCAAGTACTCCGCAACTCCAAGAGCTGTCCCCTTAACCTTATTTATAACGTCCTGCATCGCCATGATGGGATCTGTTGAAAACTATATCGATTTTACCGCCTAGGAACTCGAAAGAAAAGCTTTGAATTAGTGCCCTACCTCGAGTTCGTAACTGCAACGAGCAAAGACACAACAGTACATATGCTCATACGCAACTCCGCTGAATGTTGTCACTGCTGTCTGAGCATCACGCAAGTTACGTATTATGTCACGCAAGGTGATGGCGGATACTCCGTTAAAGTAATAGTGTGTTCATAACTTTTGGCTCCATTGATTGTTTTTGGACTTTTAGTTAAATTTGACGAAATCTTCAACCACTAAGCCCGGGGCAATAAATGAAAAGAAAACATTAGCGTTGTTTTCATATACAGAGCTCATCCTAGGATTTTAACTCCCTTACAATTTCTAGGCGAAAGTCGTAACTATTTGTTTACGATCTGAAAATAGTGGGGTGGAGAACAAGTCCTTCTCTCGCCCCAAGAATTGACGGTTCATCCTTTAGACTTGGGTGTGACTAACTGAACTCTCGTACCCAGACATCCACGGCCAAGCAGTTGTGAAACATTTCACTGAGTTACAGTTACCCGGCAGGTTAGGCAAACTGTAACTCCTGCTTCAGCGTAGTATTCAGTCGCATGACTGTGTTTAATCCAATCGCGTACCAAAGCGTAACAAGTTGTTGACGAGCGAAACACAAAATACCCATTTGATATTTCATTGCTGAAATTCTAACGGGAAGGGATAACGTCCGAAGTAAAAAGTAATGATACACACATTGTAACCCATGATACACATATTGTAACCCTTTAGTCAATTCAAATTTCTAGTAATCAATACAAGGAAATAAATTTGGCTTCTAAACACGAAAGTTAATGAAGAAAAAACTTATTAAATAAATACGGGGGGAAATTACAACTTTAGGATGCCTCCAAGAAAGAAAAATGAGCAATCCAAATCAAGATCGACCAATGTTATGTTTCGAACATGAAATGATATACCACCAGTCAACATATTTTTTTTGAATAAGAAGCCTTATTTTTTCTCGACAACAACCTATTTCTGCTATATTCTCTCCAAGATACTCAGTGGTCTTTAGTTTCATGATAACACTTGATTCTTTGTTCATCTGTCTCATTTCTTTTAGCTACTCCAGTCTAATTTGCATGGATCACTCTTTGGCTAACTGATTTCGTCCCTCGCCTCATTTCTGACCATCTCCTTCTTCACCGCTGCCCTCTTCTTTCTTTGTCGCTGAGTCTTCTTCCCCTGTCAAAGCTTCAAGGATGTCGGTTAGAATGCGCTCCACATACAGGCAGAACTCTTTGACAATACCCGGAATCTCTTGTGCTTTTTTACGATTCTCGTTGAATCTTTTTATCTTCCCTGGAAGAGCAAATACATCAGACTTCTTCTTAAGCAAGCTGTGAAAGTCACGCTGTGGATTGATTTGAGTGATTCTGTGCATGAACTCTTCTATTCCATGCTGCACGTCTGGCTCAAGTTCCACTGCTTCACTTCCGGCTGTTCTGATGTTCTTCAGCGCTTCAACTGCATCACGGTAAGGCTTGGGCGGTTTTACGCCTTCAATTGATTTCACTTTAATCTCGCCATCTGTTTCATCGATGTAGATCGTAATGTTTCCTTCCTTGGCGTCTTTTTTTAACTCTTTGATGTACTCTTTAAGTTCCTTCTTTGCTTCAAAGTTAAGGATCTTCTTAACAATATTCTCGAAAGATTCTTTGGCGGCTTGCAGGCTCTCACGCGTTTCCACGAACGGATTGATGGCAGTTGCGAGGGAAGAAAACATATTATCAATGTCATCAAGACCCACTGAATCAAACTTCAACTTCTTGTGAAACTCCTCTTTGTCCTTTTCCTTGTTGGACTTACTTTTGTCAGCTTTACTTCCTTCCTTCTTGTCAGTCTTCTTCTTTGAGGTGCTTCCTCCATTTGCTTCTTCCGCCTCATTGCTTTCGCTTTTATCTTTTTCTTTTGAAGTGTCGTCGCCCTCGTTCAGCTCCCCTTCAATTTTCTTCTGTTCCTCTTCATCGGCAAAAGCATGATAAATTTCAAGGATGATCTTCTTGGCTTGGCTGTAGAAATCGTGCACCATGTCAGGAGCTCTCCTCACTTGTTGGACGTTGTTGCTGAAGGCCTTTATGAGCCTTGGGATCTTTCCCAAATCCCACACGCTCTTAAACTCTCGTTTCAAGATTCCTTGCAGATCCATTCCTTCAGCTCTCTCGACTGCATCGTCACTTCCTCTTGCGATAATCATCGGCATAGCTTTTAATTCCTTCGACAGTTTGAGTATGGCATTTACAGCAGCTACTGCGTCAAGAATTTCTTGTACTGTCTTTTTTCCCTCTGTGTAAATGGCCAGAGCTCCCTCTTTTATCTTGACTACGATTCCCTCTGATGTGAGTCGCGTCTTCAGGGCGTGCACATATTCACTGAACTGCGCATGCGGACTGATTTGTTCCAGCGTGGTAACAGCTTTCTTAAAGGATTCCTCTGCTTTGGCCATGTCCTCGCGATTTTGGACGAATGGATCCAACGTTGTTTTAAAATCCGCGAAAATGCAATCCAACTCGGAAATGTCGAACTTTTTGAAGTCGAGAACTTTGCTTAGCTCGTCGTTAGTCTCTACTTTTTTCTTCTCAGGCTTGGTTCCCTTTTCGCCAGAATTAGCAGCCTGCTCGACTGAATTTGTTCCACTTGCGCTCGACCCAGCTTCTGGACGTTTCTTGCGACGGTTTGGTTTGGTTTCAACATCGGGTACGACATTCTCATCTGGTGCACGATCACCTTTCATTCCCTTGACGCTTTGGTTATCGAAGTCGGAATATCCAGTAGGGAGCGTTTCTTGGCCATGGGGTGTGCAGCTGCTCACGGGACCTTCGAATGGCTTATGATGCGACTGGTATTTCTTTGGTTGATTCTCATCTGTCGGACTTTTATCTCCTTCTTCACCGCTGCCCTCTTCTTTCTTTGTCGCTGAGTCCTCTTCCCCTGTCAAAGCTTCAAGGATGTCGGTTAGAATGCGCTCCACATACAGGCAGAACTCTTTGACAATACCCGGAATCTCTTGTGCTTTTTTACGATTCTCGTTGAATCTTTTTATCTTCCCTGGAAGAGCAAATACATCAGACTTCTTCTTAAGCAAGCTGTGAAAGTCACGCTGTGGATTGATTTGAGTGATTCTGTGCATGAACTCTTCTATTCCATGCTGCACGTCTGGCTCAAGTTCCACTGCTTCACTTCCGGCTGTTCTGATGTTCTTCAGCGCTTCAACTGCATCACGGTAAGGCTTGGGCGGTTTTACGCCTTCAATTGATTTCACTTTAATCTCGCCATCTGTTTCATCGATGTAGATCGTAATGTTTCCTTCCTTGGCGTCTTTTTTTAACTCTTTGATGTACTCTTTAAGTTCCTTCTTTGCTTCAAAGTTAAGGATCTTCTTAACAATATTCTCGAAAGATTCTTTGGCGGCTTGCAGGCTCTCACGCGTTTCCACGAACGGATTGATGGCAGTTGCGAGGGAAGAAAACATATTATCAATGTCATCAAGACCCACTGAATCAAACTTCAACTTCTTGTGAAACTCCTCTTTGTCCTTTTCCTTGTTGGACTTACTTTTGTCAGCTTTACTTCCTTCCTTCTTGTCAGTCTTCTTCTTTGAGGTGCTTCCTCCATTTGCTTCTTCCGCCTCATTGCTTTCGCTTTTATCTTTTTCGTCGCCGTCGTCGTCGTCGTCGTCGTCGTCGTCGTCGCCCTCGTTCAGCTCCCCTTCAATTTTCTTCTGTTCCTCTTCATCGGCAAAAGCATGATAAATTTCAAGGATGATCTTCTTGGCTTGGCTGTAGAAATCGCGCACCATGTCAGGAGCTCTCCTCACTTGTTGGACGTTGTTGCTGAAGGCCTTTTTGAGCCTTGGGATCTTTCTCAAATCCCACACGCTCTTAAACTCTCGTTTCAAGATTCCTTGCAGATCCATTCCTTCAGCTCTCTCGACTGCATCGTCACTTCCTCTTGCGATAATCATCGGCATAGCTTTTAATTCCTTCGACAGTTTAAGTATGGCATTTACAGCAGCTACTGCGTCAAGAATTCCTTGTACTGTCTTTTTTCCCTCTGTGTAAATGGCCAGAGCTCCCTCTTTTATCTTGACTACGATTCCCTCTGATGTGAGTCGCGTCTTCAGGGCGTGCACATATTCACTGAACTGCGCATGCGGACTGACTTGTTCCAGCGTGGTAACAGCTTTCTTAAAGGATTCCTCTGCTTTGGCCATGTCCTCGCGATTTTGGACGAATGGATCCAACGTTGTTTTAAAATCCGCGAAAATGCAATCCAACTCGGAAATGTCGAACTTTTTGAAGTCGAGAACTTTGCTTAGCTCGTCGTTAGTCTCTACTTTTTTCTTCTCAGGCTTGGTTCCCTTTTCGCCAAAATTAGCAGCCTGCTCGACTGAATTTGTTCCACTTGCGCTCGACCCAGCTTCTGGACGTTTCTTGCGACGGTTTGGTTTGGTTTCAACATCGGGTACGACATTCTCATCTGGTGCACGATCACCTTTCATTCCCTTGACGCTTTGGTTATCGAAGTCGGAATATCCAGTAGGGAGCGTTTCTTGGCCATGGGGTGTGCAGCTTCTCACGGGATCTTCCAATGGCTTATCATATTTCTGAGTAATACACGGACAAAAACAAAGCAAAACAAAACATTAACAGAAAAAAAAACAACAACAAAAATAATAACAAAAAGTAAAAAAAATGTATGCATCTAAAAGGTGGAGAAAAGTCTGCCAAAATGGTAAGAGTCACACAAAATTAATAGGTCACACAATCCCTTTTTCGTTCATTGACGGTACCCTAAACTAAATACCTTTACAAGAACCTTCCGTGGTCAAGGTATGGAGGGGATACCCGCACGAAGGATCTGTGTGGGAGATAACTACCTATCTATCTACTTCTACCTATCTATATACTAACTATCTCCTCAGAATACCAACATTCCTGAAGAATTTGTAATTATATCAACGTTTCCCATTCAGCGAGGTTGTAAGCGTCAATTTCGAGTTTCCTCAACATATAGTTTACCTTTTTGTCTCTGTTTGAAAGAAGAGGCTCGTTCTCATCGTTAACCTGAAAATAAAAACAAAACCGTTCAATCAGCAGCTAAGAACATGAACAAAAGTAAAAAAGATAAAAAATCTTGTTCCGCAAAGGGTTAATTTATACAATGAAAGTTGACATTTTAAAATCTGGCTCTCTAGCACTCGTTGCGCGCCTACGATTACCACTCGACCATCTAGTTTCCTCAACATATAGTTTACCTTTTTGTCTTGTGAAGGATGAGGCTCCCCCTGAAAAAAAACAAAACCGTTGAATCAGCAGCTAGGAACATGAACAAAATCAAAAGAGGTCAAAGATCTTGTACTGCAAAGGGTAAATTTATACAATGAAAGCTGACAGTAAAAATCTGGCTCTCTAGCACTCGTTGCGCGCTTACGATAACCACTCGACCATCTAGAAACCTCCATGATTTATTGGGATAAATTTTTGGTTTATGGGGGGGGGGTAGGGGGAGTAGAAGTTTGTCTGAGAGAGAGTGCAATCGAGTTACAGAAACACGATACAGCGTAGTGCAAAGGTACAGTCACACGAAAATTTCGGATAATGAGGCCAAATATTCAACAACTACTCTCATCTCTAGCTTTGTGACAAGAAACCAACTTAACATTCCTAATTTTAAACCGAAAGATTCACAATCAAATGTAAATTCGTGGTTCATAAAACTCTTTCAGATTCTAACAATCTTTCGAACTTACAAGGGCACGTACAGTTTCTTCCTCAAGAACCAGACGAACAAGACGAGCAACAACACATGAACTTTAAGGAGAAAGGAAACGAATTGTAAACATATTTCATCTTATGAGGGAAACGGTTTGCGTCGATGCATTACAAGTACTTCCGCTTTGAGATTGACCCAAAGCGTGTTCCAAATTTTCCTGATTTACAAGACCAAATAGAAGTGAGCAACCACCCAGCTATGAAAAGCGATAATTCTAACATTGTCTACATACCTGGAAACAACAGCAAAAAAATCTCATGATTGGACTTTTATCTCCTTCTTCACCACTGCTCTCTTCTTTCTCCAATGGCTTATGATGCGGCTCGTATTTCTTTGGTTGATTCTCATCCGTGGGACTTTTATCTCCTTCTTCACCGCTGCCCTCTTCTTTCTTTGTCGCTGAGTCCTCTTCCCCTGTCAAAGCTTCAAGGATGTCAGTTAGAATGCGTTCCACATACAGGCAGAACTCTTTGACAATACCCGGAATCTCTTGTGCTTTTTTACGATTCTCGTTGAATCTTTTTATCTTCCCTGGAAGAGCAAATACATCAGACTTCTTCTTAAGCAAGCTGTGAAAGTCACGCAGTGGATTGATTTGAGTGATTCTGTGCATGAACTCTTCTATTCCATGCTGCACGTCTGGCTCAAGTTCCACTGCTTCACTTCCGGCTGTTCTGATGTTCTTCAGCGCTTCAACTGCATCACGGTAAGGCTTGGGCGGTTTTACGCCTTCAATTGATTTCACTTTAATCTCGCCATCTGTTTCATCGATGTAGATCGTAATGTTTCCTTCCTTGGCGTCTTTTTTTAACTCTTTGATGTACTCTTTAAGTTCCTTCTTTGCTTCAAAGTTAAGGATCTTCTTAACAATATTCTCGAAAGATTCTTTGGCGGCTTGCAGGCTCTCACGCGTTTCCACGAACGGATTGATGGCAGTTGCGAGGGAAGAAAACATATTATCAATGTCATCAAGACCCACTGAATCAAACTTCAACTTCTTGTGAAACTCCTCTTTGTCCTTTTCCTTGTTGGACTTACTTTTGTCAGCTTTACTTCCTTCCTTCTTGTCAGTCTTCTTCTTTGAGGTGCTTCCTCCATTTGCTTCTTCCGCCTTATTGCCTTCGCTTTTATCTTTTTCTTTTGAAGTGTCGTCGCCCTCGTTCAGCTCCCCTTCAATTTTCTTCTGTTCCTCTTCATCGGCAAAAGCATGATAAATTTCAAGGATGATCTTCTTGGCTTGGCTGTAGAAATCGCGCACCATGTCAGGAGCTCTCCTCACTTGTTGGACGTTGTTGCTGAAGGCCTTTTTTTGCCTTGGGATCTTTCCAAAATCCCACAAGCTCTTAAACTCTCGTTTCAAGATTCCTTGCAGATCCATTCCTTCAGCTCTCTCGACTGCATCGTCACTTCCTCTTGCGATAATCATCGGCATAGCTTTTAATTCCTTCGACAGTTTAAGTATGGCATTTACAGCAGCTACTGCGTCAAGAATTCCTTGTACTGTCTTTTTTCCCTCTGTGTAAATGGCCAGAGCTCCCTCTTTTATCTTGACTACGATTCCCTCTGATGTGAGTCGCGTCTTCAGGGCGTGCACATATTCACTGAACTGCGCATGCGGACTGATTTGTTCCAGCGTGGTAACAGCTTTCTTAAAGGATTCCTCTGCTTTGGCCATGTCCTCGCGATTTTGGACGAATGGATCCAACGTTGTTTTAAAATCCGCGAAAATGCAATCCAACTCGGAAATGTCGAACTTTTTGAAGTCGAGAACTTTGCTTAGCTCGTCGTTAGTCTCTACTTTTTTCTTCTCAGGCTTGGTTCCCTTTTCGCCAAAATTAGCAGCCTGCTCGACTGAATTTGTTCCACTTGCGCTCGACCCAGCTTCTGGACGTTTCTTGCGACGGTTTGGTTTGGTTTCAACATCGGGTACGACATTCTCATCTGGTGCACGATCACCTTTCATTCCCTTGACGCTTTGGTTATCGAAGTCGGAATATCCAGTAGGGAGCGTTTCTTGGCCATGGGGTGTGCAGCTTCTCACGGGATCTTCCAATGGCTTATCATATTTCTGAGTAATACACGGACAAAAACAAAGCAAAACAAAACATTAACAGAAAAAAAAAACAACAACAAAAATAATAACAAAAAGTAAAAAAAAAAAAAATATGCATCTGAAGGGTGGAGAAAAGTCTGCCAAAATGGTAAGAGTCACACAAAATTAATAGGTCACACAATCCCTTTTTTCGTTCATTGACGGTACCCTAAACTAAATACCTTTACAAGAACCTTCCGTGGTCAAGGTATGGAGGGGATACCCGCACGAAGGATCTGTGTGGGAGATAACTACCTATCTATCTACTACTACCTATCTATATACTAACTATCTCCTCAGAATACCAACATTCCTGAAGAATTTGTAATTATATCAACGTTTCCCATTCAGCGAGGTTGTGAGCGTCAATTTCGAGTTTCCTCAACATATAGTTTACCTTTTTGTCTCCTGAAAGAAGAGGCTCCTTCTCATCGCTAACCTGAAAATAAAAACAAAACCGTTCAATCAGCAGCTAGGAACATGAACAAAAGTAAAAAAGATAAAAAATCTTGTTCCGCAAAGGGTTAATTTATACAATGAAAGTTGACATTTTAAAATCTGGCTCTCTAGCACTCGTTGCGCGCCTACGATTACCACTCGACCATCTAGTTTCCTCAACATATAGTTTACCTTTTTGTCTTGTGACTCCCCCTGAAAAAAAACAAAACCGTTCAATCAGCAGCTAGGAACATGAACAAAAGTAAAAAAGATAAAAAATCATTTTCCGCAGAGGGTTAATTTATACAATGAAAGTTGACATTTTAAAATCTGGCTCTCTAGCACTCGTTGCGCGCCTACGATTACCACTCGACCATCTAGTTTCCTCAACATATAGTTTACCTTTTTGTCTTGTGACTCCCCCTGAAAAAAAACAAAACCGTTGAATCAGCAGCAAGGAACATGAACAAAATCAAAAGAGGTCAAAGATCTTGTACTGCAAAGGGTAAATTTATACAATGAAAGCTGACAGTAAAAATCTGGCTCTCTAGCACTCGTTGCGCGCTTACGATAACCACTCGACCATCTAGAAACCTCCATGATTTATTGGGATAAATTTTTGGTTTAGACGCGTTATGGGGGGGGGGGGGGTTAGGGGGAGTAGAAGTTTGTCTGAGAGAGAGTGCAATCGAGTTACAGAAACACGATACAGCGTAGTGCAAAGGTACAGTCACACTAAAATTTCGGATAATGGGGCCAAATATTCAACAACTACTCTCATCTCTAGCTTTGTGACAAGAAACCAACTTAACATTCCTAATTTTAAACCGAAAGATTCACAATCAAATGTAAATTCGTGGTTCATAAAACTCTTTCAGATTCTAACAATCTTTCGAACTTACAAGGGCACGTACGGTTTCTTCCTCAAGAACCAGACGAACAAGACGAGCAACAACACATGAACTTTAAGGAGAAAGGAAACGAATTGTAAACATATTTCATCTTATGAGGGAAACGGTTTGCGTCGATGCATTACAAGTACTTCCGCTTTGATATTGACCCAAAGCGTGTTCCAAATTTTCCTGATTTACAAGACCAAATAGAAGTGAGCAACCACCCAGCTATGAAAAGCGATAATTCTAACATTGTCTACATACCTGGAAAGAACAGCGAGAAGAACTCATGATTGAAATTTCGTTCTAATGAGCAGCAAACGGGTTGTGCAAAGAGGCTCACTCTTTTCGACAATTCGCAAACGATACGGTCTACTGCACTTTCCTAGAATCGTGGTATCCGACGTAGTCCTGGGCCGGATGAACGTAGTGTCATACCCCTCCCTCAGAACATTTGGACAAGACGAGCATGTACTATCAAAGTGGCCGTGGTTTTCGCAAATTTCAATCCTATGCAGGGTATACAGTTTCACCACGAGTTCTTATTGTAATGGTTCGCCTAAGAAGGAAAGGGGCGAGGCGCAGGGCTTGCGCATAAGTAGTCTCCTTAATTGGCTTATCTTATTAATTTCCGATGCTCTGATTGGTGGAAAACGGTATTTTCACGATATTTGCACGAAAAAAACCGATTTGTTACGATGTGTTTTCCTTTTATGGTAGGGTTTCTATTGTTCTGTCTCTCGGCAAAGTTTCGGCTAATTTGCATTTGCGGAACTCGGTTTTCCGAGACTCGTACAATTCAGTCGCCACATTGGCTATTGTGCAGCGTGCGATCCTTCGTCAAAATAGCATCGTTTATGAAGTCTACCTTTTCTGTAAATATTGTAAATAGTGTATATAGTGTATATAGTTTTCAATTCATCTATCTCGTTTACGTTTACCTCCTTTTTGGAGCCCTTATGGGGTTCGAAGCGAAGTGTGTTTGTTCGAAACACGTGGCACGTGGCACGTGGAAACGGTTTGCGTCGATGCATTACAAGTACTTCCGCTTTGATATTGACCCAAAGCGTGTTCCAAATTTTCCTGATTTACAAGACCAAATAGAAGTGACCAACCACCCAGCTATGAAAAGCGATAATTCTAACATTGTCTACATACCTGGCAACAACAGCGAGACTCGTACAATTCAGTCGCCACATTGGCTATTGTGCAGCGTGCGATCCTTCGTCAAAATAGCATCGTTTATGAAGTCTACCTTTTCTGTAAATATTGTAAATAGTGTATATAGTGTATATAGTTTTCAATTCATCTGTCTCGTTTACGTTTACCTCCTTTTTGGAGCCCTTATGGGGTTCGAAGCGAAGTGTGTTTGTTCGAAACACAGCACGTGGCATCATGGTGATATTTCAGCGGCTAGTTTGCGGATTGCTAGTCCAGAAGAGCTTGAATTTTGTGGTGTGGATACATCGAAAAACAAAACCAGAAAGAGAAAGATTTGCCTTCCATGTCGAGAAAGAATTGCTCTTGAACTCAAGTGCCGGAGATATGAGGTGAGCTTATGTTTACAAGCGTCAAATTTGCCGACTGATTCTCAGGTATCCGGTCACTTCGCAAACGTGTCACTTCGCAAACTGTCAGTTCGCAAACGTCCTCGGTCGATTCGCAAACGCATCCCAGTCGATTCGCAAACGTAATATGAATCAACGAAAATCAACAGAAGAGAATCACGTTACTTTTAATCATTATAAATGATGAATTGATTGCGTGACTCGACTGATCGACGAGCAATGTAGAAAAATACACGCACAGTATCACTTTATTAAACCACTAAATGATCTACTAAACTATTCTCTAGTATTTACAAATATTTACAAATGTGATGGTTTCTGTGTGATTGACGACAACCGTGTAAACTGGAACGCACGAAGTGAAGACAGGGTATTGAATACATATCCAAGATAGATGTAAAAGAGGAACAAGACACAAATTTACATCTATCTATGCTTCGATCGAAACCGCCTTAGAGTTGTTGAAGAATTAGACGTATTAACTGCTAAACACTAATAATAATGTACAACTACTTAGTTTGCACAGCAACAAGAAATGTATTTGATTTGAAGGCAATAACAGTCCCAAAGAAAGAACACTGTGTCGGAGGAAAAGGAGGATTGCAATGCCGTCCCAAGCGTAACGTCCTTTGTCACTTCGTTTGCGAAATGACAAAGGACGTTTGCGAAGTGACAGTTTGCGAAGTGACACGTTTGCGAAGTGACCGGTATTCTATTCTCAATGTGTGATTTTCCTTTTGCACTACTGTGCCTCTCATAATTTTCTTTTATTGTGATACGATAGCCATCGAATATACCTTAGAATAATTTTCATCTCCTTCTTTTCTCCAGGAGGTAAATTTCAACCAGCTAGTGCCGTCTTCGGTGCCAACGCTTGAAGAAACGCTCAGTTGTCACGAAGAAAATGTCTCAAGTTCAGTGGAATCAGTGGAATATCCTGATCCAGTTGACATTGAAAGCATGGAGAATTGCCCGTTGTCGTCAAAAGCCATCGAGACTTCATCGAAAAGTGTTCAAGTGCCGGAAATTCCGCGCCGGCCATACAAAGAAGCTGAGTTAAGAACCCAACAGACTATGAGAAGCAAGACCATCGATAGCTTGACATCACTGGCTGATAAATATGTCCACTTCAATGAAAGTGATGTTCGCATGTTTATTTGCGATCTGGTTAGATCTGGAAAGTGGCAGGCTTCATTTGGAACTGAATCTGCTGCTTCCAACAGTGCTATGTCACACGGTGAAAACTCATTTCTCTCCAGACTCGCAGCAGAGTATAAAGCTTGCAAGGACAAAGAGGCAAACAAAGCCATCAGAAAGAATGCTACTAGCCAAAAACAAAAGGTTTTGATCGGGGACACTTTAAGGAAAAGCAGAATTTCTCTCAATGGAAACACTCCAGAAATTTTCAGCTCTAGTGTTGATGCAGCAAAGCAACTTGGCAGACTTCGATGCTATGCTGATGAAAAGCGAAGGCTACTGTCCATCGTTGCCATGGACTACCCATATTCTGTTCTTCAGAAGTATTTTCAGTGCTCCTCTAAAACCGTAACAGCTGCAAAGGTACACTGCATACTGTTTGGCCGTGGAGGTGTGCCTGTGGAGAAATTCAAGTTTACCCGTCAGTGTGAGTCCTCAAGTGCTGGAAGAACTGACTGAGTTTCTACACAGGGATGATGTCTCTAGAGCTTCTTCGTGTAGAAGTGTACTGGTTGATGGAGAGGAGACGGCTGTCAGGTACTGGCAAGACACTGTTAAAGGCCTGATTAACCAGTACTTACTGGAGTTTCCAAATGGAGTAAAGCGTACATATATTTATACACATTTGCCAACCAATTTCCGCATGAACACCATGCTTGCAGGTTTGTGCAACATCTGCGATGACTTTGGTCACTCTAATTTTGATGAATTGTGTACATTTATCGAGGAACTCTGTTCACACAGCCCTGGCCACAATGGATCTGCCCTTGTCAAGGATGTTAGGCGCTATCAGAATTTTGTGAAAACAAAATTCTCAAAACTTTCACAGCATCATTCCTCATGTTTAGAGTTATGTCAAAGTCATGCATTTTCGTCTTGTCCCGAGGAGCACCAAGCAGTATGTACTGACATTTCACCTATTTATAATGTTTAAAGCTCTGTTTTGGAGTCAGTTGATGGTATCTCAGATCAATCTGTGAAATCTGACTTGACAGCACGCTTGCAAGAATTGTTCAAGGTGCATACTGACTACCTTGGACATCTACTTTGCACCAAACATCAAGGGGACTATTATAAGTTTATTCTGAAGAACTTGAAACCTGGAGAGTGTGTAATGGTTATTGATTATAAGGTGAAGCTAGAGCTGGGCAAACGAGTAAGAGAAATCCAGAGAGACTGGTACAGCAAACGGGGAATCTCTCTACATGGTTGCTATGTGGTTGCCCAGGTGGATGAGAAGCAACACAGTAGTGAGGTGTTTGACCTGTGGTCGGAGGACACGAAGCAGGACGCTTTCTTTACTCAGAGCGCACTGGATGTCTGCTTTTCCTGGCTGGAAAGGGTCTTTCCTGGATACTCTGTATACCTCTTTTCTGGTATGTGTATGTTTTAAGTTTATTATTTTACAATTTATAGTAAATACCAAACCTGCACTTGTTCACATACATGTATGTCTGTACACGGATGGTCAATAACAACAAAACTGTAAGATACCTTTCATATCCAGATTTTACCAACTGTATTTTTAGGTTTGTTTATGTAACAACTACATACAAGTCAAAATTTTTATTTATATGTAGTACTGCAAATTTGTTCTGAACTTTCCTGAAATTGTTTCATTTGTAATGTAAAAAATCATGGGATGATTGGTAAACTTACAATTGGATAAGGTTTTACCCCTTGTTTTACCTCTTTATTTATTCTGCAGTTAGGGTACATGTATTCCTTGTTGGTGTTGATCTAGTTTTGTTTATCAGCAGCCAAATAAAAAATCTTTGAGTAAAAAGCTCTGTTTACCATTCTTTGTATATTAATTTTCAGTTCTTTACTGCTTGGCTCTAAAAAACTCAATAATAATTTGCATATAGATTCTGAAAGTGTTAAGCTGTGTTTCTTTTTTGGCAGATATTTATTTTATTAATTTGGACCTTGGATAATTTTGTATTCCTTTTTTTCTAATGTGCGACTCCAGCAGTACAACAATTTCGAGGCAGGTGAAGGCAAAACAGCTCTTGACACCCACTTTGCCCACATCAGCCACAAGATTGTGCGCTATGTTTGCTTAGGAAATGACCTGGAGACAGGAGAAGAACTTGGAGATCTTGTGCAGGTAAATATATTTTAAAAATTGTTGTTTTGTTTTCAGTATGAGAAAAGATGGAATAAACTTTTTCCTAAGACCTGTTGATAACAGGCAACGGTCTATTAATTTGCCATTTAGACCACAATAGTGCGTGATATGAAATGGTAAATTTTGATTTTGATTGCCCAAGTATTCAGTCATGAAACAGAAAGAACATTACTGAAGTTAATTTTACATTATTTTTAGTTCTGCAACTGATTTCAATGCATTTTTCTTTAGCATGATTTGGTAGACTTTGTTAAAAAATTCCTTTTTGTACTTTTAGATACCTGTGATTTATTCAGCAAACTACTTTGGTCTTTTTTTTACCTTTTCTGTAAGATTTATTTGCTCTCCCCACCCCCCCCCCCCTTCCTCCCCCATCCAAAAAAAGCAGAGCTACAAATGGGTGGAATGTTTTGGTATAAAGTTTAAAAAAACTGTTTGTATTTCTTTGACATTCTTTCTCCCTTTCTTTTGCACTGTGATAACTATTCCTCCCAGGCATTGTGTTGTTGTTTTAATTTATTCATCCAAAATATTCATCATATTGACAGTTCATTTGTGTTGTTTCCTTTACCTTTTTACAGTTATTGTACCCAGTTATTTTATACCGATTGATTTATTCAGGCAAAGTGCTCTTCCTCTTTTGCTGTCTCTCTATCAAAAAAAGTAGCACATATCTTATCATTCTGTTATTTACACTTTTTTTCAGAGTATGAAAAATATGTCATGTTTTAAGCTGAACATCGCATTAAAGAAAAACTCTGGCAAGAAAACTGTGTTCAGCTTAGCCCAGAAAGAGATTATGATGTTGTTTTACAACAGGCAAGCTACCGGTGGCATGCGGGCTGACCCAAAAGATGTAATTGCATGCATGAGAGAGAGAGGAGTGGAGGTACTTAAGGAGCAACAAATAAGAAGCTGGTGGAGCATGTATCATCAAAAGAGGAAAAGATCCTTAAATGCCTTAACCAATGACGCATGCAATCTGACTTCTCAACAGCACCCTGTTCAACCACCATCAGTATCAGCTCCCACTACGCCTGCATCCCAGCAACCCTCGGTTGCCACTATGTGTGCATCCCAGCAACCCTCAGGTCATGCAGCTCCAGTACCAGCTCCCACTTCGCCTGCATCCCAGCAACCCTCAGCTCATGCAACTCCATTGATGGCTACCACTGCACCTGGAAACCAGCAACATTCAGGTCATGCAGCTCCAGTGCCAGCTCACACTACGCCTGCATCCCAGCAACCCTCAGGTCACACAACTCAAGGGATGGTCGCCACTATGCCTGCATCCCAGCAACCCTCAGGTCATGCAGCTCCAGTGCCAGCTCACACTACGCCTGCATCCCAGCAACCCTCAGGTCACACAACTCAAGGGATGGCCGCCACTATGCCTGCATCCCAGCAACCCTCAGGTCATGCAGCTCCAGTGCCAGCTCACACTACGTCTGCATCCCAGCAACCCTCAGGTCACACAACTCAAGGAATGGCCGCCACTATGCCTGCATCCCAGCAACCCTCAGGTCATACAGCTCCAGTGCCAGCTCACACATTCTTTGTATACAAAAACTGCTTGTCTTTTGGAAGGTAGTTCTTTATTTTAGTATCATCAGGTCCTGAATCCCTAGGAAAGAAAAGACAGAATCAATTTGGAATATAAATCATAATTTTGCCAGAGAAATTTACTTAATAACAATAGGAGATTGAACAGGTTGCTGATTCTGCATCAGCCTTTCGAACAGTTGCTACAGTCCAGTCAACTGGGTGTTGATCTCAACAGTATCTCCTATCAATTGATATTTGTCTATATTTTCATCAACTGTTTGCCAGATATTACATTGATATTGTTGAGAGAAGTAACTTCTGTATCACTCCTTGGAGTGAAAGTGAAAAACCTCTGTAGATCATATAATCTCAACGAAACAAGACAGACACAAACCATTTCCATGTTGGACAGTGATGTACTAAGTGGTCTCCTGCTGCCACAAACTGTAAATCACACATAAAAAAAAATAAGTAGATATGCAACAAATTGAATTACTTGTATCACTAATAATGATACAGTAAATGGTTTGAACCAAGGGTTTTATTAAAAGCTAGTTATTGGCAGTCTACTGCTGCTTAGAAGACCTCCTATTGCAGTCTGTAGCTTGTGGACAAGCTTGGATTTCACATTGCGGCCCCTTTAATCTTTCTAACTGCCAAGATCTGGTTATTAATTCTCCCCTTAAACTACTTCACATTTCCTTGTGAATAAGTGATGAGAATTTGGTGTTAGATCAAGACAACAACTTCTACCTGATAAGTTTGATTATCCTCATGGACTTTTTTGCTAGATAATATATGGATATTTTGGGGAGAAGTTACATGTGCATATCTTTACATGGCAATAACTTTGAAAAGAAGATATCCACATCATCCCACACTGTCCTAAAACAAAGCGTTCCTCTCAAAGGTAAACTATCTTTTTTTGTAATTGTTTTCTTCATTAATGATTGATTGAGATCTACAGTAGACAATTAATTGTTGTTTTGGTTTCCTTCGTATAAGCATCGCTCTAAGCACTCAAAAGTGAAAGACATTGTTCGGTCATGTAATAAAAATTGGTTAGTCTATTTTACTAACGGAGAAGCCTTGACTGTGCTCTGTTCTGTTGTAAAGCACGCAGGAAGCGGCTAGAGCATGAAAGAAGTGTAGGTAGAAACACGAGATGTAGTCGAGTGTTCCTCCACACTTGTTGAGTTTCACAATATCTTTCAACTTTAGTGTGGTTTGCCGGCTCGTTTGTTCCGAAATTTCACTTTCAATGAGTGAAAAAAAGCTAGAGAGAAGTCCGGGAAATGGTCGGACATATATAGTACAATTTGGCAGTTGGCATGACAGCTTTAGCACTCTTGCTCTATGTTCTTTACTCTCATATAGCGCGCTGTTTCAACCAATGACAGCGCGCGCTATATCCGAACTTTACTATAACATTTGGAAGCTCAAATCTAAGCGCAAATGGATTAAACGATCGCTTGTGGTGTACAAATTCCACTATATTTACATGGATTACGCAGCTAAAAAACCTACATACGTACTTCTTCTGGAGTAATAACGCCCGTTTCTTGAAACTTTGACTCCTATATTGACAGAAAAGATGGTTAATTCTCTAAATTGATTGAAAATAAGCGAAAAAAAAAACAAAATTGCACAGCTGGATTTTCGATTAAGTAGAAAATTTGGTAACGCACCTTCAAAACAGGCGTCAAGTACTCCGCAACTCCAAGAGCTGTCCCCTTAACCTTATTTATAACGTCCTGCATCGCCATGATGGGATCTGTTGAAAACTATATCGATTTTACCGCCTAGGAACTCGAAAGAAAAGCTTTGAAGTAGTGCCCTACCTCGAGTTCGTAACTGCAACGAGCAAAGACACAACAGTACATATGCTCATACGCAACTCCGCTGAATGTTGTCACTGCTGTCTGAGCATCACGCAAGTTACGTATTATGTCACGCAAGGTGATGGCGGATACTCCGTTAAAGTAATAGTGTGTTCATAACTTTTGGCTCCATTGATTGTTTTTGGACTTTTAGTTAAATTTGACGAAATCTTCAACCACTAAGCCCGGGGCAATAAATGAAAAGAAAACATTAGCGTTGTTTTCATATACAGAGCTCATCCTAGGATTTTAACTCCCTTACAATTTCTAGGCGAAAGTCGTAACTATTTGTTTACGATCTGAAAATAGTGGGGTGGAAATGAACAAGTCCTTCTCTCGCCCCAAGAATTGACGGTTCATCCTTTAGACTTGGGTGTGACTAACTGAACTCTCGTACCCAGACATCCACGGCCAAGCAGTTGTGAAACATTTCACTGAGTTACAGTTACCCGGCAGGTTAGGCAAACTGTAACTCCTGCTTCAGCGTAGTATTCAGTCGCATGACTGTGTTTAATCCAATCGCGTACCAAAGCGTAACAAGTTGTTGACGAGCGAAACACAAAATACCCATTTGATATTTCATTGCTGAAATTCTAACGGGAAGGGATAACGTCCGAAGTAAAAAGTAATGATACACACATTGTAACCCATGATACACATATTGTAACCCTTTAGTCAATTCAAATTTCTAGTAATCAATACAAGGAAATAAATTTGGCTTCTAAACACGAAAGTTAATGAAGAAAAAACTTATTAAATAAATACGGGGGGAAATTACAACTTTAGGATGCCTCCAAGAAAGAAAAATGAGCAATCCAAATCAAGATCGACCAATGTTATGTTTCGAACATGAAATGATATACCACCAGTCAACATATGTTTTTGAATAAGAAGCCTTATTTTTTCTCGACAACAACCTATTTCTGCTATATTCTCTCCAAGATACTCAGTGGTCTTTAGTTTCATGATAACACTTGATTCTTTGTTCATCTGTCTCATTTCTTTTAGCTACTCCAGTCTAATCTGCATGGATCACTCTTTGGCTAACTGATTTCGTCCCTCGCCTCATTTCTGACCATCTCCTCCTTCACCGCTGCCCTCTTCTTTCTTTGTCGCTGTGTCTTCTTCCCCTGTCAAAGCTTCAAGGATGTCGGTTAGAATGCGCTCCACATACAGGCAGAACTCTTTGACAATACCCGGAATCTCTTGTGCTTTTTTACGATTCTCGTTGAATCTTTTTATCTTCCCTGGAAGAGCGAATACATCAGACTTCTTCTTAAGCAAGCTGTGAAAGTCACGTTGTGGATTGATTTGAGTGATTCTGTGCATGAACTCTTCTATTCCATGCTGCACGTCTGGCTCAAGTTCCACTGCTTCACTTCCGGCTGTTCTGATGTTCTTCAGCGCTTCAACTGCATCACGGTAAGGCTTGGGCGGTTTTACGCCTTCAATTGATTTCACTTTTATCTCACCGTCTGTTTCATCGATGTAGATCGTAATGTTTCCTTCCTTGGCGTCTTTTTTTAACTCTTTGATGTACTCTTTAAGTTCCTTGTTTGCTTCAAAGTTAAGGATCTTCTTAACAATATTCTCGAAAGATTCTTTGGCGGCTTGCAGGCTCTCACGCGTTTCCACGAACGGATTGATGACAGTTGCGAGGGAAGAAAACATATTATCAATGTCATCAAGACCCACTGAATCAAACTTCAACTTCTTGTGAAACTCCTCTTTGTCCTTTTCCTTGTTGGACTTACTTTTGTCAGCTTTACTTCCTTCCTTCTTGTCAGTCTTCTTCTTTGAGGTGCTTCCTCCATTTGCTTCGTCCGCCTCATTGCTTTCGCTTTTATCTTTTCCTTTTGAAGTGTCGTCGCCCTCGTTCAGCTCCCCTTCAATTTTCTTCTGTTCCTCTTCATCGGCAAAAGCATGATAAATTTCAAGGATGATCTTCTTGGCTTGGCTGTAGAAATCGCGCACCATGTCAGGAGCTCTCCTCACTTGTTGGACGTTGTTGCTGAAGGCCTTTATGAGCCTTGGGATCTTTCCCAAATCCCACACGCTCTTAAACTCTCGTTTCAAGATTCCTGGCAGATCCATTCCTTCAGCTCTCTCGACTGCATCGTCACTTCCTCTTGCGATAATCATCGGCATAGCTTTTAATTCCTTCGACAGTTTGAGTATGGCATTTACAGCAGCTACTGCGTCTAAAATTTCTTGTACTGTCTTTTTTCCCTCTGTGTAAATGGCCAGAGCTCCCTCTTTTATCTTGACTACGATTCCCTCTGATGTGAGTCGCGTCTTCAGGGCGTGCACATATTCACTGAACTGCGCATGCGGACTGACTTGTTCCAGCGTGGTAACAGCTTTCTTAAAGGATTCCTCTGCTTTGGCCATGTCCTCGCGATTTTGGACGAATGGATCCAACGTTGTTTTAAAATCCGCGAAAATGCAATCCAACTCGGAAATGTCGAACTTTTTGAAGTCGAGAACTTTGCTTAGCTCGTCGTTAGTCTCTCCTTTTTTCTTCTTAGGCTTGGTTCCCTTTTCGCCAAAATTAGCAACCTGCTCGACTGAATTTGTTCCACTTGCGCTCGACCCAGCTTCTGGACGTTTCTTGCGACGGTTTGGTTTGGTTTCATCATCAGGTACGACATTCTTCTCTGGTGCACGATTACCTTTCATTCCCTTGACCCTTTGGTTATCGAAGTCGGAATATCCAGTAGGGAGTGTTTCTTGGCCATGGGGTGTGCAGCTTCTCACGGGACCTTCCAATGGCTTATGATGCGACTCGTATTTCTTTGGTTGATTCTCATCTGTCGGACTTTTATCTCCTTCTTCACCGCTGCCCTCTTCTTTCTTTGTCGTTGAGTCTTCTTCCCCTGTCAAAGCTTCAAGGATGTCGGTTAGAATGCGCTCCACATACAGGCAGAACTCTTTGACAATACCCGGAATCTCTTGTGCTTTTTTACGATTCTCGTTGAATCTTTTTATCTTCCTTGGAAGAGCCCTTACATCAGACTTCTTCTTAAGCAAGCTGTGAAAGTCACGCTGTGGATTGATTTGAGTGATTCTGTGCATGAACTCTTCTATTCCATGCTGCACGTCTGGCTCAAGTTCCACTGCTTCACTTCCGGCTGTTCTGATGTTCTTCAGCGCTTCAACTGCATCACGGTAAGGCTTGGGCGGTTTTACGCCTTCAATTGATTTCACTTTAATCTCGCCATCTGTTTCATCGATGTAGATCGTAATGTTTCCTTCCTTGGCGTCTTTTTTTAACTCTTTGATGTACTCTTTAAGTTCCTTCTTTGCTTCAAAGTTAAGGATCTTCTTAACAATATTCTCGAAAGATTCTTTGGCGGCTTGCAGGCTCTCACGCGTTTCCACGAACGGATTGATGACAGTTGCGAGGGAAGAAAACATATTATCAATGTCATCAAGACCCACTGAATCAAACTTCAACTTCTTGTGAAACTCCTCTTTGTCCTTTTCCTTGTTGGACTTACTTTTGTCAGCTTTACTTCCTTCCTTCTTGTCAGTCTTCTTCTTTGAGGTGCTTCCTCCATTTGCTTCTTCCGCCTCATTGCTTTCGCTTTTATCTTTTTCTTTTGAAGTGTCGTCGCCCTCGTTCAGCTCCCCTTCAATTTTCTTCTGTTCCTCTTCATCGGCAAAAGCATGATAAATTTCAAGGATGATCTTCTTGGCTTGGCTGTAGAAATCGCGCACCATGTCAGGAGCTCTCCTCACTTGTTGGACGTTGTTGCTGAAGGCCTTTTTGAGCCTTGGGATCTTTCCCAAATCCCACACGCTCTTAAACTCTCGTTTCAAGATTCCTTGCAGATCCATTCCTTCAGCTCTCTCGACTGCATCGTCACTTCCTCTTGCGATAATCATCGGCATAGCTTTTAATTCCTTCGACAGTTTAAGTATGGCATTTACAGCAGCTACTGCGTCAAGAATTCCTTGTACTGCCTTTTTTCCCTCTGTGTAAATGGCCAGAGCTCCCTCTTTTATCTTGACTACGATTCCCTCTGATGTGAGTCGCGTCTTCAGGGCGTGCACATATTCACTGAACTGCGCATGCGGACTGACTTGTTCCAGCGTGGTAACAGCTTTCTTAAAGGATTCCTCTGCTTTGGCCATGTCCTCGCGATTTTGGACGAATGGATCCAACGTTGTTTTAAAATCCGCGAAAATGCAATCCAACTCGGAAATGTCGAACCTTTTGAAGTCGAGAACTTTGCTTAGCTCGTCGTTAGTCTCTACTTTTTTCTTCTTAGGCTTGGTTCCCTTTTCGCCAAAATTAGCAGCCTGCTCGACTGAATTTGTTCCACTTGCGCTCGACCCAGCTTCTGGACGTTTCTTGCGACGGTTTGGTTTGGTTTCAACATCGGGTACGACATTCTCATCTGGTGCACGATCACCTTTCATTCCCTTGACGCTT